AGAGTGGACTGGAGTAGAGTGGAGTGGAGTGGAGTAGAGTGGAGTGGAGTAGAGTGGAGTGGAGTGGAATGAAGTGGAGGAGAGTGGAGTGGAAAAGAGTGGAGTGGAGTAGTGTGTAGAAGATTGGAGTGGAGGAGAGTAAAGTAGAGTAGAGTAGAGTAGAGTGGAGTGGACTAGAGTAGAATGGAGTGGAGTAGGGAAGCGTAGAGTAGAGTAGAGTGGAGTGGAGTGGACTAGAGTAGAATGAAGTGGAGTAGGGAAGCGTAGAGTTGAGTAGAGTGCACCAGAGCAGAGTCGAGCAGTGCAGGGAAGCGTAGAATGGAGAAAAGTAGGGAAGTGAAACTTAGGAAATGGTTTGGTCACTCTGGGTAGACTGTGAGGACCCCGACCTAAATCTTTGTATTGCTAATATCAGCCTTGGGCACTGGGCCCTTTTTTTTTTTTTTTTTTTTAAAAAAAGGAAATGGAAGAGTAGAAAATAATACAGTCGAGAAAAGTAGGGAAACGTAGAGTATTGTAGAGTTAAGTAGAGTACTGTAGAGTAGAGTAGAATAGGTAAGAGAAGCTTAGGGAATCGAATAGTTAAAAATAGTACAGTCGAGAAGAGTAGGGAAGCGTAAAGTATCGTAGAGTACAGTAGAGTACAGTGCCCTAGAGTAGAGTAGAGTAGAGTAGAATCGAGTACTAGAGTAGAGTAAACTTAAAGTAGGAAAGAGTTCAATAGAGTAGAGTAGAGTAGAGTAAACTGAGTAGATCAGAGTATCGTAACATAAAGAACGGTAGACTAGAGATGAGTAGAGTACAATGGAGTAGAGTAGGAAGGAGTTAAGCAAAGTAGAGTAGAGTAGCGTAGCGTAGAGTAGACTTAGTAGAGTAAACTCCGTCCAGCTACGTGGCACCCTCGCAGAATCCTAGTCCGCGGCCGACCTCCTAGGCCGCAGGCCCGCGGCCGAGGCCGCGCGACCGAGTTTGCGCGCAGCCGCACCACGCCCAGGGGCGCGCGCTCAAAATCAACACGCGCGCTCGGCCTACGCACGTCGGCCGCTATCGGCCTGGATTAAAAACAATAAAAAAAGTCAAAAATTTGGGGGGGTTGATTTTGATAGGTAGCAAAAAAAATTAAAAAAATAAAAAAAAATAAATATTTATTTATTGATTGTTTTTTTTAATGATTGATTGATTGATTGATTGATTGATTGATTGGTTGATTGATTGATTGATTGATGATTGATTGATTGATTGATTG